TTTTTTTGGTACCGGGGATTGAACTCGGGTCCTTGTGCTTGCAAGGCAGGCCACTGAACTGATGAGCTAAATCCCCTGCCCACTATTAAATATCTTTACAAGTTCCCATTCTGCTAGACAGTGGTGTGGAAGAGGCTTGGATAATGGGATGACACTGTGCTTTTAAGCATAGTTGCATTTCAATAATTTAAGTGGCAAATAGTGCTGTTTTTCAGATTTCTAGCCTTCCCTTCCTCCCAAAAATGGCATCCAGGGACATGGAAAACTGGACTTATCCTGTGGCTTCTCCATCTGGTTTTGTACTGTGGGGCAGCTATGGGGCACATCTGCCTCCCACCTGCACTTACTGGCTGTGAGGAGAGGTCCTGCTCATGGTTTACTGCTGGCCTTGGCAACCCAATCTCCTTCTGCTCTTAAGGACTGGATGATCCACCTCGTTGACTGCCATCCTGGCTCTTTCAATGACATGACCGTGCAGGTGACCTGGGCATGACTTGTGTCAGTGGTGGAGAACCTGTGGCACATATGCTGAAGCAGGCATGCAGAGCCCTGTCTGTTGGCACACGAGCCAAGTGTATAAGTCTGTTTTTTGTTTTGTTTTGTTTTTTGGTATTGGGATAAAACTCAGGACTCTGTGCTTGCAAGACAAGCAGTGGCACCACTGAGCTAAATCCATGGCTCTCAGTATTCAGGTTTAATTGCAGAGTTGTCACTTTGTAATAAATGAGTTTTGGGTTGCAGTTTGGGCCCTTGGTCTCCAAAAGGTTCGCCATCACTGACTTGTGTGTATCCCAGTGATAGCAGTCAAGGATCCACCTCCTAAAATGAACCCTCTGGAAATTCTCCTGCTGGACACTTGGTTAGCACTCTTGAACCCCCTGAGCACATGGGAGAGGAGGGCTGTTGAGGAAGAGCTTGGGAGAGGCGAGCTCAGCACCACTCCTGAAAAAGTTTCCTTTGACTAACCTGGTGCAGGGCGGCCTTTGAGGTGGTCTTCTTCCAGATTCCCAAATGGCAGTAAGACATAGAGCCCTCTCCATTCTTGGCATTCCTTCAAATAACTACCAATGGATCCCCAGGGGCTTAGCTCAGTGGCACCATGCCTGTCTTGAAAGTGCAAGGTCCTGAGTTCAATCCCCAGTACCAGGGGAAAGAAAAAAAAAAGAAAGAAAAGAAAAACTACCAATAATACCTAACTTCTCCTCCTCTTCCTCCTCCAATAGCACCTGTGTTTGTCAGTTTTCCATGGCTGTGACAAAATGCCTAAGAAAATTAACTTAAAAGGAGGGTTTATCTGGGCTCATAGCTTCAGAGGTTTCACTCTATGGTCACTTGACCCTGTCACTTCGGGCTTGTGGAAGCACATTTAATCATGGTGGGAGCACATGGTAAAAGAGGTTTGTTCACCTCGTGGCCAGGGAGCAATGAGAAAAAAGGAAGAGAACGAACCAGAGTTTCAATATCTCCTTCAAGGTTGCACCTGTAATGACTAACTTCCTCTCACTTGGTTCCCCACTTAAAGGTTCCACCACCTCCAAATGGTACAACACGTGGTTCTCAGGAGGACACTCCAGATGTAATCTGTGGTGATGCCATTATTTGACAAGCCCTATTCTAAGCACTTAGTGCATACTCACCTTCTTTCATTTTCATAACAATTATTGGAAGTAGATATTATTATTATTACATGGATTTACAGGGGAGGAAACAAAGAACAAGAGGTTAAGTAGTTTTTTTTGGTTTTGGTTTATGTTTGTTTGTTTGAGACAGGGTCTCACTATGTAGTTGAGTCTGTCCTGGAACTCATTATGTAGCCCAGGCTGGTCTTGAATTCACAGCAATCCTCCTGCCTCACCCTCCAAAATTCTGGGATTACAGGCATTCGCCACGACACCTGGCTGAGACAGTATCTTCTTAAGACACTAAATTGCCCAGTCTGGGCTCAAACTTGGGAATCCTCTGGGATTATAAATCCATGTTCTTATCCTTGAATTGATTTTAGAGAGTAGAGATCAACCACATTTCTGAATGCCTGCTTTCTCTTCCTCTGTTTTACTTCTTCCCATAATCCCCATACTCTAGGATCAGAAAAGGTGGGCTTTGTCTTTTTCCCTTGTTAGGCTAGGATTTATCTTGTATGGAATTCTATCATAATAATCAAAGAAGAAATAGAAAAGTTTAGAAAATCCTCTTACTCAACAAAACCTGGCTATCAGAGACATTGCCTGGATGGAAAAACTTATTCTGGGTGTTGGAAATTATATGAACTATTTCCCTCTCTTTGCATTCTTGCTGTGATTACTCCCATTATCTTTTAGATAATGTAAGTAGATTTGGCAGGATAGAGGGAAAATCAGAACAAGAACATGTGAAAGAGAAAAGCACCTGAATATATTTCCAAGGAAATTTCCCTATTAATGAGCACACTGGCTTTCAAAGGAAACAGTTGTGATTGGCTATGATAATAGTTTTGTTTGCCAAGAGCTTTCTGGATTTGGATCTTTCCTTGTCCTAAAGCATCCTTTGGGAGTAAACAAAATACAGGACTTGGAAAGTGTTTTATCTCCCTTGTCACACTGTGATTCTAGACCAAAGATCAGCAAACTTTTCCTGTAGGGGGTCAGAGAGTCAATATGTTTTTAGCCTTTGTGCGTCATATAGTTTCTGTCACATTTATTCAGCTCTGCTATGACAGCAAAAAGGTATAGCCACAGACAATATGTAAACAAATGAGGATGGCGGTGTTCCAATAAAACTTTATTTACAAAGACAGTCAGCTATTTGTTAAAACAAGACTGCATTTGCTCCACAGGTTGTATACTGACCCTTGTTCTAGAATTTAAGTAGGAAGAGCCTTTGAAGTCTAATTCTCACTGGAGAGGTAACAGCTGAAGATGTCATGCTAAGCCCTCCAGGGATATCCAGGCATCAAAAGCATGCCCTGGTGAGACTGAGGCCTGACAGGTGGCAGGTGACACTGTATGAAATACTGTACTTCTGACATTTGGCTGTGGGACTGAAACTGCTCCTACACAGAGCTCTTTGCTCTAGATGGTTGTCCTTACTGCTAAGGTGATTTTTCTTTTTTTTTTTAGTGTAAAGTTCAAGGGACATTTCTAGGGAAACTGTCTTTTGAGGAAGTATATCTTTTAGAACACACTTGAACTGGAAAGTAGACGGGGGAGGGATGACAGAGACGGGGGATCAGGTTGTGTGGGAAGAACACAGTCACAGCATACTGAAGAAGCCAGCAATAAGATCGTTTTGCCTGGTGCAGAAGTATATGCCCGTAGTCCCAGGTACTCTGAAGGCTGAAGGAGGAGAATCACTTGAGGCCAGGAGTTTGAAGACAGCATTGGCAAAATAGAAAGACCCTGTTGCAAAAACCACAAATTAACGACAACAATAACAACAGAAACCTAAAAAAAAAAATAATAATAATAATAATAAAAGATCCCTTAATCTTGTTTTTAGATCATTAAAATCAAGGTAAACATATCTATTTCCTCAAACATTTTTCTCTCTCTGTCTTTTGATTAGAAGAAATTGAACCCAAGCACTCTAGTGATGAGCTACATCCTTAGCCCCCCCCCGCCCGCCTTTTTCCTCATGACAAGGTCTCCTTAAATTGCCCAGCATGATCTCAAACTCCCAGTTCTCCTGCCTCAGCCTTCTACGTAGCTGACATTTATCATTTCTTTATGGTGAAAACATTCATCATAAAATCTTTTCTCTTAAATTCTTTGACATATTCAGTATATCACCATTATCTGTAGTCACCCTAAAGTGCAAGATCTCTTAATTCTGAATAGTGGGAAAAGCCCTTGGTAAATGCCAGGTGGCCTGGGCCTTCTCTGACTCCTGAATCACTGTGTGTTCTTAGGCAAGGTACTTGACAAGTTATTTTCTTTTGGGAAGAGCAAACCTGTCAAGAGTTGATTCCTAAAATCCTTGAAGCCCTTAAATCCTGTTTCTAATGTTTTTATATTAAATACTTCCTGAGTAACAGGGGTTGTTTGTTTGTTTTGTTTGTTGGGTTTTTTAGTCAGGGTCTTGCTTTATAGTTCAGGCTGCCT